AGAGGGCTAGCAGGCTGCAAAGATCTACCCTCATATTAAAAAAACAAGTATTTAATTTCATGTGTTCATGTGAACTTTGAAAATGAATTTATCCACAGTGGCCATAGCTACAGAAGTGAAAATTAAAGTGCTCTTACTGTTTGTTCAGAATACATTAATATGTACTAGTCTGAGCACTTTAAATTTGTATAAGCCTAAGTATCTTTTATTTGTTTGCTTTATTTGTATCTTACTTTGTTCATTTTCATCTAATCAGTGTAAATTGGATGGGTGTCTCCTTGCAATTAATAATCCATCCTGCACACTAAACTGTAAATATTCCATGGCCTCTAACAGCGTATTAATCATAATTTGTAGCTCTCACTGCTCTAAACTAAACTTTATTCTGGTTTTATGTAGCTTTGTAGCCTCTGAGTAGCTTGATAAAAAGAAAAAAAAGACTAGCCATGTCACCCATTAATCAAGCAGAATACAATACACTGATAGCCTTTTAAGCCTTCGTTATGCTTTCCAGGATATCAAAGCTTTGACTTGGCACATTGTGTAGGTGTTGTCGGGAAAGGTATCTGGAAAGTATCAGGGTGGCATACATCCTTCCTCCTGTACTGATGTTTTATTCTCATTTGTTTAGAATGTGTCTGTTCCACTTTTATTAGATTATATAAAGTGGAATTAAAAGGTCACAATTTTCCAACATCTTACATATTGGATTGATGTAGCCTTTCACTAAATTGCATAAAAGGGCTCTACAGGCAAAATATCAAAACACTTCCTGTCGACTGCTAAATGTCAACATTATTGCCAGAAATGTGTTATAATTTTTGGATCTCCATTTTTCACTGTTGGCACCTGCCTTCATGACTGTCCATGATTGCATTTAGATCCTACTGGCCTTGCCAGAGGCATTTATTCACACAACAGATCACTGGGAGAGAAAATGGAGGCTTGAAGCGAAAGTCCAGCAAAAGTTGTCACACTGTAGGATCAAAATAAAAGTTTGAAGGCTTTATTGAAACATAGATTTAAAATCCAAAGAATCACACCTGCTTAAGTGTTTCAGTCTTGTGGCTTGAAGTGAACCTGTGAGGACAGCAATATGGGGGCTGCCATTCATTATTTGCTTTAAATGGTATCCTGATACCCTGTTCACTATTATTGTGAGTCACTCAGAAGGGACAGGTAGAGAAGCCAGGACCAGAATGAAAGCTTGCACCTTAAGATTTGTTCGTACCAGCAAAGCCAATCAAATATTTAAAATATACTGTGCAAATAGCACCAAAATAATAAGTGACATTCAAATGATAAATGAGCAGCTGCAAATTAAAACACATAAACAATCATGTTCAGGATATGCTGCTTTTAGAATTCAATTAAAGCCAAACTCAAGCTTTTGGTACACTTTACATAGTTTGTTTGGGCCAAGCTGGCCCTAACGAACTATGCCCCTCACTAACATGTGAGGCTGTTGGATGTGCTGTATACACTGTATGTAGCTGAGGCTACATACAGCATACAGCACTGTGGTCCAATGGAAGCCGAGACCTTCCTGTCTCACCCAGAACACAATCAGCCACTCATAGAAAGCAATGCATTCTGTCAATGAATACAAAGCTTCCTCTGATTGGCTGAGTCAGAGAGGTGGGCTGATGATGTCAAATCCTCTGACTCATCCAATCAAAGGAAGCTTTGTATTCATTGATAGAATACATCTCTTCCTATGCAAAATGTACTAAAAGATTAAATTCAGCTTTAAGTACTAAATGTCAAGTAATATCATACATTTAATAAATGATAAAACATGCAGTGCTGTATAAACAACAGTTCAAAAAAAAAAAGAAGAAAAGTACAAAATTCCAAATTATAATGTAGATTCAAAGTCCAACACCGTGGAACGCCTTCCACTCCAGGAATATCTTCATGACTGTATCAAGATGATGGAAAAAAAGGACACCTAGGCAGGGCCGTTGATTAGGGGTTACTACCTGACCTCCTGTACAGGGCCTAGGCCAGCAGGGGGGCCCAGACGGCTGGCTGAATCAGATATGAACAGGGAGGGTGATCGTAACAGCGGGGGGAGCAATTACTAAAGACAATCCCCTGTATGGCTCCCTCTGCAGCAGCTGAACACTGGCTTCTTCTCTTCTCCCGCCCATTGGCTTTCAGCTGTTGCAGAGAGAGCCATACAGGAGATGGTGTCCAGTAATTGTCCCCCGTTGCACCCACCACCCTTTCTGTGAACCATATGTTTCCACCTGCTGCCCAGGATTCCCTGTGTGCCCCCACAATGCTGCCAACTTCCCTCCTCTGGCAGCTGCAAGCACACAATATAATCCTTCAGGATGGAGAGTGGGGAAAGGGTGCGGTAAATATGTCACATTTACCAGTCCCTTCCTTTGCTGAATGAATACAATGAGTGACTGGTACTAATCACTCAATGTGTTCATAACTGAAGCATAGTAAACCGTGTTTATTTGGGGGGGGGCTATCAGGTTGGCTGTATGGGGCCCTGTGGTTTCTAACAGCAGTCCTGCACCTAGGGCTTCTTACACACATCACCCTTAGCATATGGTATGTGACTCTGAAAATGAGTCAAACAACGCTTGTGTTTACAAGTCAAACGGCCACCTCACATCAGTCCACTCTGTCACTCCGAGCTCAGACTAGCTTGTACAGATCAATACTCAAGGAAGAGAGAAGAAAAGAGCACCAGGGTCTCATAGTGCTAAATCCTCAAGGAGTGCTTTATTAACCACTTGCCCTCCCGAAGATTTACCCTCCTTCCTGACCAGGCCATATTTTGCGATACGGCACTGCGTTACTTTAACTGACAATTGCACGGTCATGCAACACTGTACATAAATTAAATTTATGTAATTTTTTCCCCACAAATAGAGCTTTTTTTTGGTGGTATTTGATCTCCTCTGCATTTTTTTGCTTTTTTTTGTGCTATATAAAAAAAAATGACTGCCAATTTTGAAAAAAAAAAACCTATATTTTTGACTTTATGCTATAAAACCTATCCAATAAAAAATAGAAAAAATAACATTTCATCAGAAATTTAGGCCAAATGTATATTAAGTGGTTTACATGAAAGTTATAGCATCTAATAATGACGGTGTATATAAACTGGAATTTTTTTTTTATACTAGTAATGATGATGATCAGCGACTTACAGCAGGACTTCTGACACTGGGTGGGAACCGATTAACTGCCACTGACATCTCCAGTGACACTAATACAGTGATCAGCGCTAATAAAAAGCACTGACACTGTACTAATGACACTGGGCAGGAAGGAGTTAACATCTGGGGCGATCAAAGGGTTAACTGTGTGTTAGGGAGTGTTTTTATTGTGTACTGTGTTGTGTTTTACTAAGCAGACCTGCTGCTTTCTATTTCTCTGCTGTGCAGAGAGATAGAAAGCAGCACATCCATGCTGACAGGAGAGAGATCTGTGTTGTTTACACACAGACATCTCCACTCTTAGCTTTGCCAAAGAAGATCGCTGGCCGGGACCGCTGACTGACATCTTCACGATCCAGTAGCAGTGTGGGTAGAGCGGTGCGTGTGCGCCCCCTACCCGGTAATGCAAAATTACATATATTTACATGATTTAAATGCCAGAATGTACAGCAATTGACACCAAAACAGACTACAATACAAAGAATGCTTTTCTTATTCACTCCTGCGTGGTGACGTCACAACTTCCAGTCAGGCCCTACATGTTTCATCAAAAATTATGTCATCGAAAGATATTGAATGTATATTACTTGACATTTGACATTGAACATCTAATTGAATTCTAAGCATGGCATCCCCTGTATATAAATGTTTGTACTTGCTGTCAGACAAAATCACAAGTTGTATATTGAACCTGTCGCAACCAGGGATGATTATTTCTTGACACCCAGCTGTCTTGTGGTACCTCCTCTTACCCTAGTCGATTGGCTAGAAAAGTCAGTGATACTCGGCGATCGCTGGGTGCCGGTGGGGAATCACAACTGAGGCCGCCAGTGGCGGTGTGGGTAGAGCACCCACCCCCCCATCGGAAAATGCGAAATCACGTATATATACGTGATTTTGCGCAGCCCTATCGCCCTGCAGCTGTATTTCTGATATAGGGCGGCGGAGAAGCGGTTAAGAAACCTCTTGCATTTTTTTTTCAATTGGGTAAATATGAAATATGTACTCCATATGATCTCAATTCCTACCCCTCTCACATCTTATGAGGGAATGTGAGGGAAATGAGGAAATATCTATTCAGTATTGACAGCATAATGAAAGTCTGGCAGAGATTTAAAACCTCCCTTTCTCTTAAAACAAAATGAAGGTTGAAGCTGTACTTGCCCTATTAGGCAATGTCTTTTATTATTTTGGATGGACTATGGAAGGATTAGACCCTCAATCAAGTTATTATTGCTATCTGTGTCCCTGTTGGGGACTTTTATCTCTCTGTTCATACTGGTGACCTTAGTCCCTGAGACAGAAAGGGCGGTAATCCAAAAATTTTGAGTTCTGACCAGAACCAGAGGTGTGAGTAAATCTTCACTTGTTCTGGAGAGACTCTTTTTACTTTGGGAGTTTTCTTCTAACTTCCTGTTGCTTCTTCGGAACAAGAAGTGAAGAAAAACCTTCCCAATGGGATGCAGACAGCAAAAAATAATGTGAAAGGTGGTTTATTTCACATAACATTTACACAAGGATAAGGATCTTCAGTTTATCCATGTGGCTGTAATTTTCAAATTAAGACTTAGCTGGACTGTAGCTGAACAGCTGGAGGTAAAAATAAATGCCACTTTTTTAATCGTATCCTTTTGGGATTGTTAGTTTAGTATCCTTATCCTGCAACATAAGCTATGTGAATTCAGGCTTTACGTTTTCTCTGCTGTGTCCAGAACTATAAACATAAGTTTCGTCTGTACACACATTTGCACTTGGATCTTCATTTCTTGTACTATGGGTAATTTTTTAAACCTTTTTAATTTTTTTTCTTTATTTCAGGACTATTTCACAGACCTTATTACCAATGACAGCATTAATTTCTTTAAACTGTCAAAGAAGATGTACCCACATCGGCCAATAATGATGGTCGTCAGTCATGCAGCACCACATGGTCCTGAGGATTCTGCACCACAGTTTTCAGAATTCTTCCCTAATGCTTCCCAGCATATGTAAGTAGAACACTTGGTATTATATCCATTGCAGACAATGTTGGAAATTAGTTTTCTGGAGCATGGCTATTGATTCTTTTTTTTTTAACTTTTTTTTTACTTTTCATACAAATGCTATGTTTGCTTGAGTGGAAAAGTTGATCAAATGTTGCTTAAAGCTGAAGTCGGACAGGAGGAACTTACCCTTACAGTTGGCCCCCTCCCTGCAAGGGTTAACTACTCATTTTACCTTGGGACTGATGACATACCTAATTTATCCCTCACTCCCTTGGCAGCCTGTGCTCTTCCTCTGATCAGGTTGTGGATGGGCCCTCAGTGTCTTCCTGTGCAATGTAAAGCTGCAGGTCCTGCATTGTACAGGATGACATTAGGGAGCTAGTTGCGACTGTTCGTGCAATGAAGAGAAAAGGCATTGAGGGACTGGTTGTACAAACAAGAGGTAACAATATAAAGTATATATACACCTTATTCACCATCCTCTAGGCAAAGCCAGCAGTTAACCTTTGCAGTAGGGAAGGGAACCCACTGCAAGGGTAAATCTTTTTCCCCCGTATTTCAGCCTTAAAGCTTTACCCCAGTTTTGACCAGTTTGATATTCTTAGCACTTTAATATAAGAATATTATAGAGCTTACTTGCTTCTTTTTTACTTTTTTTTTTCATTTTAAATGGAATAGGGATTGTTTGTGTCCCATTAGGAAGATTTCCTTTATATTCTGTACTATAGGCACAATGGAAAGTTATGACAGTTATGACATTTTTACTCACTTTCAGGTAACAGTGGCCACTAGGGCAAGTAACAATCTCCATAACACAGACAATACAATCCTGACAGGAGTTCTAATCCCTCAATCCTCTCCTCCTAAACACGTATAGTACATGTTAATGATTGGGAAATGATGATTTCATCAGATTTATTAAAAACCACTTAAAAATTAAACCACAGTATTTAAAATCAATTTCTCTGCCTTATACATAATGTTTAAGTAATATGTTTAGTTGGTATGTCATGACCTATCACTAGTTCCTAGTGAACTCAAATGATGATTTCTCCAGAGCCTCTCCCATCCTCTGGAACTCTCTACTTCAATCTGTATGGCTTTCTCCTACTCTGGTTACCTTTAGGTGATCCTTGAAAATGAATCACTTCAGGGAAGCCTATCACACCTCCACCTAACAACTGACCTTTAACTCTCCCATCAGCTCATTACCTTTTCTATCATTTGCCCCACCCTGTTAGATTGTAAGCTCTTATGAGCAGGGCCCACTTAACCCCCTTATATTTTATTGTATTATAACTGTACTATCTCCTTTTATATTGTAAAATGCTGTGCAAACTGTTGGCGCTATTTAAATTCTGAGTAGTAATAATTCATATACTGACCTTTTATCAAAATACATCAATTCAGCCAATTATGAAAACTAGTTTGTGCCCCCATTTTAAGAAAACCTATGACTTAATAAAGAATTCTACTAAAATGAAGTATATAGTATTTTGTGGATTTAAAAATGGCCATGTTTTCACCATAACTAAATGAGTAACATAGAGATGCCCACATGAGTCCAATAGATAGAAATGATAGAACTGTGTTTAGGTACATACATTTGAATGCTGTCAATTGGAAGTGGTCAAACCAATTTATTGAGTCAATTGTTGTAGGATGCTCCAGAACAAAGGTACTAGCAAAATGTGACTGTATATGTATGTTGATGGGAAGGGGGTAACAAATTCCAAGCTTGCTCTTCCACCTGAAGCAGAAAAGGGAAAGCACACCAAATTGAAGCTCCATTATACTGGTTGTTAAGAAGCAAATCTAGTGGTTTACTTGGTGTTACAGCTTGTTACGGCCTAAAAAACTGTAATGTGTTGGATTTTCTCTTGCAAATGATAAGAGCATTGTATGGCCAACATTGCAATCATGTGCAGATTACTAAACTTGGTGTCTGTTCAAATTTCAGTAAAATGTAATTCATTTTTATTTACTTTTGACAAAGGATCTGCATTTCTGATTGTACTATTTAGCTTGCCTAAATGAGTGCCTTTAGGCTCACTTGGTAACATAAAGCTCATTAAGTTATTAATAATATTTCTAAACAAAGTATGTTGAATCATTCTTAAATACTTTTTTTTCACTTACTGAAAATCATTTAACTGAATGAGTCATTCAGTGTTATTTGTTTTTTACTTTTAATTATATAATCCGCCCTTCCATGTGAGCCGGAAAAAATGTTCTCAGTTCCCATTCCTCTATTTTTTTTTTATTTTTTTGGTTTTATAAAATAAAAACATTTCAAATGTCGTTGGCTCAAAATAACAGGAAAGAAAAAAGTGAAGAGCCTTTCCAAGAACATTTGTCCAAGTGATAATATACTTGGAATACTTTTTCAGGGGTGTAACTTGCACTGCCTTCCAAGGGATGTTCCCTCTAGATTGGTAAAGCACAGACAAGTCTAAGTAATCATTTGTTCTGCAGGTTCCTCTCAGTTTCATTTGAAATTACTAATGATTCCATTCAGAAAATTAGTAGTTAATTTAATGTAATTACTGAGCATTAGGAAGTCACAATTACTCCTGCAGCTAAATACATATGTATGCATACCCAACTGTCCTTCATTTAGGTGTAATGTCCCTCTTTTGGAACCAACCCTTCTTTCCTCCTTGGTAGTCCCTCTTTTTGGTCTGATGTAGATGTATAGTTCTTTGAAAAAAATGTACTATTTAACTACCAAAACTGTTATATTGCACTCAACATTTTATCCAACCTCTTAACTATTTCATTTGTTTCCCAATTTATAAAGCTTGCTAAAGCTGTTTCTAGTTATGTGGATCTATTCTGCTCTCAGAACCTTCCAAGAAAAATGATCTTTATCAGACTTTGTTTTTTTTTATATATATATTTTATTTTTGCCTTTCATGTTTGTGTCAGTGACAGGCCCTTTTCCATCTCCTTCATCAACTTAATGAATGAACATTGATCTAATGAACATAGTTATATAACATTTGGAGCTCACCTGCCTTACGGCATTTCATGTAAAAATCTTTACTACATAAAAACTGTTGGTGCCATCCTACAGATACTACATTTATATTTTAAAACAAAATTCAATATTTGAAATAGAGAAATTAAAGCAGTATTAAACCTAGATGAAAAAAAAAACGGAATATATTTTGCAGCTTAAATGTGGTAGCTGTATTAGTTGTCTTTTTTTAGGCTTTTTGTCTCTTTATTTTCACCTGTTGATCTGCCAGTAACACAATTCTTGTATTAGGCCCCTTTCACACCTTCACGATCTATGATTGCAAGCAAAAATGCACATGCCTGCACAAGTTCCCTAAAAGCGCAAATGTGCCAGTCGCACTTGCAGTGCCATTAATTCTTAATGACACTCCAAATGCGAATACCAGTCTTGAAAGAAAACAAGTTAAAAATGATCTTCGCAAAAAACATGTGAGGCTCACGTGTAGCGTGTAGAGCAGTGCATTCAAGTGAATGGACTGCCCTATGCTGTCGCACAACAAATGCCAGAAAATTATGATCACCGATCAACAGAAAGAGATGTCGGCTTGGTCATGTGATCAGTTGTGTCCAATCACAACTGATCGCATGTAAATAGGGAAATGCCGGTTATCAGCATTTCTCTCCTCACGAGCTGTCACGCTGACAGCTCGAGAAGAGAGGAGAGACGGTAATCGGCATTACTCAGAGGGGACATGTACACTGATCATCAGGGCACTGATGATCAGTGTAGCCCCATCAGTGCCACCTGTCAGTGTCTATCAGTGCCATCTGTCAGTGCCCATCAGTGACACATCAATGCCACATATCAGTGCCTACCAGTGCCCATCAATGCAACATATCAGTGCCCATCTGAGCTGCCTTTCAGTGTCACCTATCAGTGCCAGTCAGTGCCACCTATCAATGCCAGTCAGTGCCACCTATCAGTGCTGCCAATCAGTGCCACCTATCAGTGCCAGTCAGTGCCGCCTATCAGTGCCAGTCAGTGCCGCCTATCCGTGTGCATCAGTGCCGCCTATCAGTGCCCGTCAGTGCTGCCTATCAGTGCCGCCTAAGAGTGCCAGTCAGTGCCACCTATCAGTGCCATATATAAGTGCTGCCTTTCAGTGCCCATCAGTGATGCCTGTCAATGCCCATCAGTGCCACCTACCAGTGCCTCCTCATCAGTGCCCATCAGTGCCACCTATCAGTGTCCATCAGTGCAGCCTATTAGTGCCCATTACTGCAGCTTCATTAGCGCACATCAGTGAAGGAGAAAAATCACTTATTTACAAAATTTTATAACAAAAACTAAGAAAAAACGTTTTTTTTTTTTTTTTTACATTTTCAGTGGTTTTTGGTTTGTTTAAGAAAAAATAAAACACCACCAAAATAAAACTCTCACAAATAAATTATAAAAATATCATATGGGTACAGTGTTGCATGACTGCGCAATTGTCATTCAAAGTGTGACAGCGCTGAAAGCTGGAAATTGGCCTGGGCAAAAGGGGGTATAAGTGCCCTGTAGGCTTGTGGTTAACCAACATAAACTGAATCCTCATATTCCCCCAAATACCTGCCTAAGATTTCTACTCTTTGACAGCTGTCAGTATTATTGAAATTAGAAATGAAATGATAGAATAGCAAAGTTACTTCTAATTCTTTCCTGTACCATAAACACCTTTATCTGTGCATTAAAAAGCTATTTTACATAAACCAACTTCACAGGACCCAAAGTGTATTTAAAAGCGCTAACATTTTTTTTGTTTTAGATAGGGTGGTGAGACTTTCCCAAACTTTGTACCCTAAAGGAAACCTTAAAATAAATTTCAGGTCTTGGAACTGACACCTACCTTACACCTATTCATTTGGGGTCAGTGGGGAAAATGGTGGTCAGTAAGAAGAATACTACCCTTACAGACAGCTAAAAAGATCATTGGTGCTATGCTCCCGGCTTTACCATGTGGTGTTGGTCCTGGAACTATGCAGGCATCATCAGATGGTAAGTCATTCAGCACAGCTATAGGAACTCTTAGCAACTTCTGGAGGAACCCTGGTTGAGAATGACTGGTTTAGAACGTCTGTCAGGTTTATACTGATGTCCCCTTCTCAGTGGGGAGATTCTGATCACTGTCTTTGGGACTAAAACTGAAGGAAATTCTAAAATTGTAAGTCATCACCAAAACAGAAATAGAAGATAAATCATCCATCAGGGACATATGTTCCAATGACCATTATCTAAGATGAGATTTAATTTACTTTGAAGAACTTCTTTCTCATTTCCTTTTTTTGTTTACATGTCAGGGAGCAAAGTCAAACCAGCCCCATGGGGCACATGGCAAAAATCATGATGGCCAGTCCCTACCTGACCCTAAATGAGAATAAAAAGGTTTTGGATTTAGATGTGTGTTTTTTTAATGAAAGTAAATGATTACTTAATAAAGCAGAATTCCTGACAGATATAACAAACTCAATTTAATTCAGTGCTATGTCTCTTATAGAGTTGTTCATTTTTTTGAATAGAACTACAGTATCATTTTTCTTATTAGTATTCTGTAACACCCAGGACAACAGTACTTAGACATTGAGTCAGTCAGGATTTTTTGCTTTGCACAGTGCTGATCATCTAAGTTTGTGCTCATTCTTAAGCCCCGTACACACGATGAGAATATTGAAGAAATGAACGTCCGGTTTTTGTTTTTTTTTTCAAGCTAGACTCGTATCAAAAGTGAAGCGTTTACTAAAGATACAAAAATTCTTGTAGGGCAAAAAGAAAATTTGGAAGTAATGTAATCTATTTGTATTGCATTTTCGGATGAAAACTGTACTGATTGAACAAAAATCGTTTGATCTAGTATCGTACGGGAAAAATGTTTGTGCTAGACCCTTTAAATAATTTTGTATGAAAGCTGTGTACTAATGATCAGATTGTACGATCGCTTCAAAAGTGGTATTTTTCGTTCAATTTTCTGATCCTGTGCACTAGGCTTTACAGAAGGGATTTGCAAAAGTTGACTCACCAACAATCTACTGCTCCTTTGCACAGGCTTTAAACTATAGTATAGTCTGCAGAGAGGTCCAGGACCTGACTTTGCTGTCTGGTAGGGGTTTATTGATGACTAAATTGGCTTAACAGGTTTACAAAAATTGCCAAGTTCAGCCTTGTGTTTTGTTTATTGGTATTTATGATCTAAAATTAAGTTTATGTAGGTAATTTATAGGTTTGTAGTATGCATAGCTGTATTAACAATTGTGTGTTCTACTTTTTTGAATCAGAACTCCCAGCTACAATTATGCACCAAACATGGACAAGCATTGGATCATGCAGTACACAGGGGCCATGTTACCTATACATATGGAGTTTACAAATGTGCTTCACAGGAAGAGGTTGCAGACACTTATGTCTGTGGATGATTCAATGGAAAAGGTATATTTTTATTTTGTGTTTATCTTTTATTTTCTTCAGTGACGATTATTACATTAAATACATGGTTCTTCAGATGTTCTAATTGGATTAGTCTTGTCCTTCATTTTAAGTAAATGTCACTAATATTATACAAATTTAACAAACCATACGTTTTCCCTCTCTGCTTCATCTGGGGTTTAGAAAATGTTGTATGCGTTATGCAAATCAGCTACATCTAATATTATACTGGATGTGCCAAATATCCTATTACAGGACCAGTTAAAGCATTTTATAATCAGAAATATCACAGTGCCAGGCAAACTCACAATACATCCAAACAAGATCTCTCCTGATCAGGGGCGGACTGACAACGCATGGGGCCTCCGGGCAATAGGGGATCATGGGGCCCCTGTGTCCTTGCCCAAACTCAAAAAAGCCTATGAAAAAGGTACCGGGGGCATCTCATGGGGCCCCTACTGACCCCGGGCCCTGGGCAGTGCCCGAGTTTCTAAATGGTCAGTCTGCCCCGGCTCCTGATATGCTGACATGCACCTGAAGAAGCCTAAGTTAGAGAAACATGTTGTTCCTGATGTGAAGAATATTTTCTGGATATATTGGAGTAAAGTGCTTCCCGCTTACCATGGCATTTAATATGTGCTATGTAATATACTAACTCCTAACAAAAAATCCCATTCTCTGCCTGAAGTGCCCAAGAATTTGTTTGGACATTGGCAGGTTTACACAGTGCCCTCAGAACCTGTTTCAGCAAAGCTCTCACTCCATGCTGATTAGAGAGCTCTAGCTTTGATCCAGCAAGGAAGGCTGTCAGACCTCTGCAGAGAGATCACTGCTTCCACACAGAGAACAAGGGTCCTCCTCTTCAGCATGCTTGCAGGGGACAAACTATCCTACTCAGGATGTGGCTGCTTTTTAAAGAAAACAAACTGTAAGACTTTGCACATATTTTGTTTTGGTGAACCTCAAAATTACAGTATTCAGCTGATTTAAAGTGAAAGTTCCATTGACCTTAAGATTTTAATTTTATCATACATTCTGTTTAAATATACAGTAAAATGATAATGCTGCTATTTTATAATAATGTGCTTATGGATTTAATTTGTATCTTTCATACTGGTAGATGTACAACATGCTGGTGGAAACAGGAGAATTGGACAACACATACATAATTTACACAGCAGACCATGGCTACCATATAGGACAGTTCGGGCTGGTCAAAGGGAAGTCTATGCCTTATGATTTTGATATCCGAGTCCCTTTCTTTGTACGTGGGCCGAACGTGGAGCACGGATCAGTGTATGTTCTCTTGTCTAGTTCACAACTGTTATATCTGTCAAATTTTCAAATAACAACATGATTTTATCCCCACTTGGGCTAGCTGTCCTGGCCCTCATCAGCCACTAACTACTTTGTTTGGACTAAGAACATCATTACTCTTCTTAGTTTTCTGAGGCCATGTTACCAGCAGCAAATACTATAAACAAAACTCTCTGGAGTTTATTGTATCTGCTTTGTTCTCGTGTTTTTGTGGCAGTTATTGTTTGGTTCTCTTTATCAACACATGGATGGATGGGAAGATCATATCATACGAATGTGGTTACATGACCAATGATGGTCTCTAGAGTAATGACTGCTGGTTGTAACTACATTCCCAGTGACTAGGACATACATTATATTATCTGCTCTTCTAGCTGGCTGGGGACCAAACGTTCTGTGTGTGAGGGTATCTTCTGTACATACTGTATATAGGCATGTTTGTGTCTGATGTATTTAATGCAAAAGAATCCTAAAAAAGGGAATAAGCAGAATATCTTCCACTGTTACATAACGTTTATACATAGCTGGTGATTGGTGTGCTGTTATGTGCAATGCATATGGACTGCTGTATTATATGCAGCATGTGAAAAACTAATGAGGTTCGTCTGTTAGTGCTCTTCATATGAATTTCCCCAAATTGCAAAATAGTGTTCAAGCTTCTCTTATCAATTTCTGAGTCTCTTAGAACCACTGGGTCTAGAACCAATCAGGGTAATAGAGACAGAATTGGCATTTCGTATACATGACAAACAAGCTGATATTCAGAATTGTTAAAGCGGAACTTCACTCTCTCAATCAGCATGGAATATTTCTAATCCTTATACTGCTAGCATTAGTAAATAGAAAGTGTGTCCTATTTATTTGTTTTAACCTTTTTTTTTGCATTTCTTCATTTACTTCCTGGTTTCCATACCCAGGCAAATGATGTCATACATCCCAGGAGTCTTCAGGAGGGGAGGGAGGGTTCTCAGCTCAGGCAATGCCTGAGCTAAGGACAGATAGATTCCAGGAAGTAACTGCTACATGAATCATTTGCTCTTACGCAAAATGGCCACTGCCAGAAATGCTAGGGGGTGTTTTTCAAAATGATGCAAAATAAAGCATGGATACATGGGTGAATGGAGCAGTTTGATTTGAATATTAATAATGAATTATGTAGAATTTTTAATTTGTGGTACTCAGATGCAGTGCAGTTAAACTTTAAGAAGTGAGTTAAATCACAACAATTCAAAACTGCAATTCCAAGAAATTTACAATTTTAGTATTATTTATATGTACTTGTAGAATCATTGATTTCTTTTTTTTTCAATTTAGGAATTGGCAAATAAGTCAAGTATGAGTTGACCTTCTCAAGCTCAATGCACTAACATTTCTTTGGTTAAGGTCGAAGAATTCAATTTTTCAAGATTTCCAAATTTTTCATAATGCAGAGTTAATTTTTGTAAATATCACCAGAGTAAATGATGAGGAAAATGTGTGTTATGTTGAAGTTATCATTCTGGAATTAGCTACCTAATTATGCTGCTGTAATAGTCTGAAAATGTTTATAGAGTCCAGAGGCAGATTGTTAATAGCAATGTATTTCAATTGCCTCATTACATTAGAAATGAATGCAGATAACATTCTATTACAGTTTATCTGTAGCTCTGTACGGTTGTGTGTTTTGCAGTGTGCCTCAGATTGTTCTGAACTTGGATATTGCTCCAACTATACTGGATATTGCTGGTTTGGATACTCCTCCTGATATGGATGGGAAGTCTGTTCTCCCTCTGATGGATATTGAGAGACCGGGGAACAGGTTGGCCAGTCTTTGTCTTTACATATTATGTGTACGTGGTGTAACTGAAAACAGATGTAGAAAGACAGATGTAAAAGATAGTATAACTCCCTAAAGCAAAAAATTAAATGGACTTTGACTCTTTGGTAAAATAAAAAACAAAACAAGTGCAGCCTTATCCAAACTTTTTCTTAGTAAATTAAAGTGTTACTAAACCCAGAACCCTGCATTCACTATATATGGTCTCTCACAGTACATACAACATGGAAATGCAATTATGTTAGTAAATATAAACTGCTAAATACCTTTTCTCATCAGGAGTTAGAGCAGTAATGTGATTTCTATCAGTGTCCAGCCAAGCACATGTTAAAGCTTGTAGGAGTTTTCATTTTGCTCTAGGAGGATGCAGGACCCCTGACCTCTGTCTGGACAGTGCTGATTGGCCATGTGCTGATCACATGCGCTCTTCCAAGAAAAAAAAAGTATCTAACAATACACACCAAACTGAGCTTGTGCAGAGTGACTCCACATGATATGTCTTATCAGGAGATAGGAGGGGGACACTGGAAGAAGTGGAAGATCAGAAAAAGCAGGATCAAACAGCGTTTTTATACAATGCAGAGTATTAACCCCTTAGGTTTTACAGTGAGTATAACAAGCGTGCTTTACTGCATATACAGACTGATTTTACTGTTGTGGGTTTAGTAACACTTTAGGTGTAAATATTGTAATCTCTAACTAGCAGGGCCCTCTGATTCTTCTTATACCAAATTGTATTGTAACTGTAATGTCTACCTTCATTATGTAAAGTGCTGCACAAAATGTTGGAGCTATATAAATTCTATATAATATTAATATAAAAAATTAATAATAAGTGACATCTGAATACAAACTGTCAATTACAAAGAGAACATCCCAGACAAAAATAAATACAATGTGAAAAAAAAACATACAGTGCAGTCCAAAAAAAACTCACCAAATTCCCGGTGCGTGTAAAAATGAAATGGCAATCACAGAGCAATCTTCTTATCAAACTTTCTCCGTGTCGGAAACGTGATATTTCTAAAATATCCGTGCTGTACTTAAGGTGCTCCAACTCCATCTCGTGCCAATCAAACAGCTCACCTTAAGCTTAAGCCCCTTCAGTTATGGGAAGCCTAATAATGCTTAATGTATAAAGGGTTAGCATATTCCACAGCCAGGTCCAAATGCAGTAACAAACATGGTAGTAAAGGGTTGATCTCACAATACTCCCAGTGGTAAGCCGTTTATGGAAGAGAGCAACAACGACATAATAGTGCTCACTGCTAGTATTTATTACAGCCATTTATAGCAAAATCTACAACACTTACAAGACTGTAAAACATGCAGCGTATTAAAAAGACTCATAAAGCATCCAGAAAACAGTTTACTCAGCCAGTATATGAATACTCCTCTCTGCAGAGATCACCAGCAACAGGTGTCAATCAGCATGAAAATGTCAGGGCTCATGTACACTGCAGCTGCTAAACTCACGTTCAGGAGCTGTTCAGCATTTTTTTCAGCAGCCCCTGAACTCTCCCTAATGTTTTCCTATGTGTCCATGTACACATCGTCGTTTACAGTCGTTTACAGGCAGTTGAGCTTACAGTCGTTTTTTTTTAACGCACCAAACTTGCGTTCAGGACTAGATTTTACCAACGTTTCAAATGGCAAATGCTTTTAAACGCTTGTGAACGCCATTAGCAGCGTTTATAAGCGTTTGCGTTTAGAAGCGTTTTTAACTGTTCCATGTCCAGATGCTGTCCAGAGCCTTTTTTCATCATCAGAAATGCATGCAAAGCGTTTTCCATGTATTCAAATGGACCTAGCACACCACCGCAGTCAGTTCCAGGTTTTGCGTGAAGGAAAAAATGGTAGAACGTGCCGCATTATGCTCATGATGGGATCCATAGTGAATACAACCAGAAAAGACAGGTCATCTCAACACATACTGCTCTCTCTGCTTGTGTTCTCTCTTTTTCTCTCAAAATGTCTGAAATAGTTAATCATCTACTGTTTTTCAGTGCATTCTGGGCATTTGGGAGGGTCTCCTGAGGTTTTTTTTTAAAAAACGATTCTAACCGCAAACGCTTCTAAATGCGGCTAACCGTGCATGACGTTTTGTAACCTACGTTTTCCTGCAGTCAGTTTCCATCGTTCAGAAGAGTTTTCCAAATGCCCCGTGTACATGAGCCCTTAGTGTGCAAAAGGGTTGGCAAGTAATGACAAAATAGACAGCTGTCCACTAAAATCTTTTTGCAGTACAGCAATGACTGATTGATTGTTTATTGATTGTTTATTTTATCAATGTTTTACAATATACAATATATCATCAGTCCACAAAAAGGGGTTTAAATTAAAACGGTCATAAAAGAAACAAGAAACAAGGGAGCTGCCACTGCTGACTGAAAACAATGGTGATCCCATATGGTACCCAACAATTCTCAGCTGCATAATTGTTCTGGGGTAGTGAAGCTCCAAGCTTGCGGAGTGTCATATCTATTCTTGCTTCGCTATTTAGCGAGTCAGAGCAAGTATTGTCGGGACACCAGTAACCCAACAAGTAGTGAAAGAGAGGTTTTAGGATGATAGATATACATACTGTAAAACAGGTCTGCAATGGCAGTTCCCAAATTTCTGTCTGGCTAGATTAGGTTAGGATTAGGCAGTGGGCAGAGACATACAAGCCGTTCTATTACACCCCTGGAATCATATGCACATCTGGAATGGCTGGTTTATAGTACAGATAAAGCCTGAAATTATAGAATCATTTATACAGCCTACAGATGGATGTTTTAAATTTGCCAATTCTCATTTCAACCTTAACTGAACTGACATTTACTAAAGGAACAAAAACACACTAAAATGATCCCAAATAAAGGGAACAAGCTACTAGAATTTTAGTAATCAGTTATCAATAAAATTGGAGAAAACAAAATTATTTCATTTATGAAACAGTCGGTTTCTTCTGTCACTTTGTAGAACTGGCTAAAAAAAAAAAACAGTTGCAAACCTCCTGTTGCTATGGTCAATGCAAACTTTTGACTCCTTTGTTTTAACATGAGGCCCACTTTTGCACAGCTGGTTCTCACACTCCTCTTTCCTTTTATTCCAGATTACGGACCAATAAAAAAAACAAGATCTGGAGAGATACATTCTTGGTGGAAAGAGGGTAACAGGCTACGTTTATTATTTCATACAATGAGTGAACTTCATTTTAACATGTCTCGACAATATAAACATGTGTCATGATTTAAAATTACATCTGGCACAAGATTGGAGAGGAGGTTACTGTACTTCTCCAGTGGAATATTTTTTTGTCTTTATGCCAGAGAGCCCCAAAGCAATAACCAGTAGAAAACTACCAGGCTGAAATAGAAGGTTCTTTTTCTAGTTTAATAAAATATACTTTACATAAGACATGAAGATATGTTGTAAAGCCATAGCTGGTTAGGATGGTCAATATATTTAGAGGTATACAAGTGACTTTTACAACTGATATTATTTGTATTGATATCTTGTGTATAGGAACTGTGAAGCAGCATGGTTTAAGAACTACTTTTGTGGGTATTTTAATGTACATTAAACAAACAATTCAGTTGAGTGGAGGTTGTCAGGCAACAGTAGGGTTGGTTTCCCGTATAGAAGAAAAAAATATATTTGAAATATATTTTAAAAATATGCTTCCCAAATATATTGACATATATTTGAATTACTACAGTTTTGGCCATATTCAATATATTTCAAAATATATTTCAATAAATATATACTGCATGTTGAAATGCCTTTTTATTACAAAATATATGAAAAATATTTTTTAAAATACATTTCAAATATACTGTATGTCTTTAAAAATACAAATCTCCATTTTTGGAATGCATTTACAAATATATGTAAAAATATATGTTAATATGACTTTGATATGTTACAAAAAATCTGAAGAATATATTTAAAATATATATTTTTTAAAATATATTATTTTAAAATATATTCTTCATTTTTTTTTTTTTTAAGATATAAAAAAATAATTTTAACATATATTTTTACATATATTTGTAAACACATTCTAAAAATGGATATTTGTATTTTTAAAGACATACAGTATATTTGAAATGTATTTTTGAAAAATATTTTTCATATAGTTTGTAATAAAAATGCATTTCAACATGCAGTATATATATTTATTGAAATATATTTTGAAATATATTGAATATGGCCAAAATTGTAGTATTTCAAATATATGTAAATATATTTGGGAAGAATATTTTTAAAGTATATTTCAAATATATTTTTCTTCCATATGGGTTGTAACCCAAGGGGAAATTAAAGTGGGGCCTCCCTTGCTGGCATAGGATGTAGGCTGGGCAGCACTGGGATTGTATTATTTTCTATGAAGATCTATGAATTGTCATTAATGTATAGTTCACGGGCACCAAACTTTCACAACACTGGTGAAGGCATCTTACCAAAAACCCAAGCGCACTTTCTACGATGCAGTATTAAATAGTTGAAAATTATAATAATACCGAGCACACCAGATAGTGAGGTGGGAGAAGCAGAACCCATCTGACGAGAGGTTGCTAATACGGTAACTGGTGCAGGGACTGTACTCCACATATCTTCTGGTTATGTGATCTGTGATATTTCATGACCAAATTCAGGTGAAGCAATAAGATGTTTCCCTATGGAATTAAAAAGCTATGATAAAGGAGTGAGCTTAATAGCAGTGTGTATTACCTACTATCTTCATGTTGGCAAAGAATCTTCATGCCTAATGCAGTTTAGGCTAGGGTTGCTTTTTAGTTGCAGTGGAGCTGTGAACAAATTACTAGACATGTGCATGCCGGAAATTTTCGTTTTGTTTTGGATGCATTCACTTATTGAGGGATTTTGTTTTGTCATATTTGTCATATTTCACTGATTAATTTTTTCGGGATTAATTTTCTATCTTTGGCATTCGTTTCATATATTTGTTGGTTCGAAAAAATGTTGCAGTTTTTTCAGAAGATTGCTATATATTCAATATATTATCTATGAATTTGAATCACAAGAACTCAATATTTTAATATGCTAGTCTAACCCACCAAGAGAAATGGCATATATATCGACTAGCGTCATGTACATCTGAATTAACAAATAGAACAAAATTTGGATCCATTCGTTATCTGGATAATCAAACTAATTTGAACAATTGAATTAATTTCCCTGTGGGTCTGAACTACTATTGTATCATGTGATGTCATCCGAATGAAACAAATGCATTTGTTAATTTTGTTATATCCTTTTTTCAGATTCGTTGACATTTGTTACTATGTCCATTCGGAGATTTGTATACATTCGAAACTCCAAAAATAACATTTTCATCCGAAAAACAAATCATAATGAAACACACATGTCTTCAAAATACTAATATTTGCCATGCACTATATGACCAAAAGTGTGTGGACAGCTGGCCATCACAGCTATATGAGTTTGTCGGACATCTCATGAAACCATGAGCATTAGCAAGTTGTCCCCCTCCCCCCTTTTCAGCTATACCAACCCCCACTCTTCCAGGAAGGCTTTCCACAACATTTGGTGTATGTCTGTGGGAGTTTGCACATACTTAGCAAAAAGAACATTTGTGAGGTTAGGTACTGATGTTGGAGAAAAAGACCTCAATTGCAATCTGCATTGCAGTTTGTCCCAAAAGTGTTGTGGTTGAGATAAGGGCTCTGTGTAGGCCACTCAGGTTTTTCCACATCAAACCATATAATACAACAATGACTTCTTTAACAGAGGTTTTTTATTAACAAATGGCATATACATACAGAGCCAAGTAACTGAGATACCAGAAAGATGTATACAGTATAGTACAAAGTACAGCATCAAAGATTCAGATTGATTTCTATCAGTAATTGCACTTAAAGCCTAAGTGCAGCCATAAATAAAAAAAAAAAAACAATAAAATCAGTTCAAAGGACATAACTTACAGTCAGTAGGATGTGTCCCTTGTGCTGATGCCTCTTCTATTAGTTGAAATCCTGCTCTGTCCATGCTCCATCCACACCACTGTGATCTTCTGGTAGATGGTGGTTCAGCACAAGGGACACATGCTACTGACTGTAATTTGTTTATGTCCCTTGTGCTGACTTTTGTGTGTTTTTTTTATCTTGGCTGTAGTTATGCTTTAGTAATTAGTAACTTAATCCTGAAAGCTGTTTGTCCTTTCTCACTTTTAAACATCTTCCCTAATAGAAAATTCATCAGAAAAAAAGAGGAGCCAAACAAAAGTGCACCACAGTCTAACCATTTGCCAAAATATGAGCGGGTGAAGGAGCTTTGCCAGCAAGCCAGATACCAGACAGCTTGTGAACAGCCGGGACAGGTAAGGCAAATGTCTGGGCTTTGTTTCTTTTGTAAAGCATTACGTTTCTGTTAATTTAATCAGAATTAAACATCAAACAAAATACCTCACTAGGTATCAAGAGCAACTGTGCCGTGTTTGCGGAAGCTACTCTACCCACATGTTAGCTGATTCCCATTTGGTCCACTCGTTGGAAACGGAATGAACATTGCAGGTGTTCATGTTTCATCATTCTTGCACTGTGTAGGATGTTTCTGAAGTTTTCAGGAATGGATTACATATGTGTATAGATACTTCCCACGTAAAAAATTCCAATCTTGCATAAAAACTTGTATTACTGTAGTGTAGAACATTTGCAAAGATTTTTACAGAGTCATCTAAGAATAATTCAAATACTTAAAGCTAAACTCTAGCTATCTTAACAAGCAGCTAAATACATACTGTAGGTCAGGGGTGGGCAAACTGTGGCTCTCCAGCTGTTGCAGGACTACAAGTTCCATCATGCCTCTGCAAGCCATAGCTGTCAGTTTTGCAATGCATCATGGGAAATGTAGTTCCACAACAGCTGATCGCCCACCCCTGCTGTTGGTAATATACATATAAGACATCTGTTATAGCTGCTAAGGGATTAGTGTTTTTGTAAAGAACTGAATTCGTTTGTGTATTTGGTATCCTTCTGGAGTTCAGCTCTAATGTATGTGATAGGTATACGACCAATTATCTGCTGCTGATACTTGAGCTTACAATTTTTTTATAAACTGTATAATCACATCAGGAGTACAAATCTCCAAACCTAAAGCTGAATTTTGTATGAATGGAGTAAGGCCCTCATATTTGTTGACATTGGACATAGTGGGGTTGATTTACTAAAGACAAATTGGCTGTTAAATTTTCAAGGGAGGTTGCACTATGCAAGGTAATTTTCCCCAAAGCTTTGTGATAAGGGTGAACTAAGAATACCTAATCACACGCAAGGGAAATGAAAAAAAAAAAACAGCATTTTTGCTTGCACGTGATTGGATAATGGAGATCAGCAGAGCTTCACCTCATTCACTAAGCTCTGGAACGAATTACCTTTCATACAAAGTGAGCAGTCTATTTGCCTTCAGTAAATCAACTCCATGAGTGGGGAAATACTAGACTCAAAAAAAAATCGCCTGAAACCTAGGACATTTATTGTTCATAATGCATTGTGGAGGAGGCAGATGCATGCACTGTATATTTTACATTGGTGGTTTGTTGTTGATTGTCATGTGGTTAGATTTTCCCACTCAGCAGACCCTAGATATTGCCAGCCACACTTTCTAATGTACAAATTTCTTTCTTTCAAGATCTTCACTGTTGTGAGCCTTTCCTTTTTCTGCAGTGCTGACCTCTAACTTGCCATAGTGTATAAATTGTTTTAAAATTGTTGCCAATTTTATTTCCATATTGGTATGATGACTTTACAATAAAAAGTTAGTAGGATCTCACCTGCTAATCATCCTTTTTGGGATCACCTCTGTAGAGCATACATTTTTTCTCGCTATTCGAACTACTTAGTACATAGATGCCAAAACAATGAATTGGATTATGGAGACATAATCCTCTTATTACAATATGCTAAGAATCTCTTTCATTACAGGAACAGTTACGGTATTTATAAGAGTACTGCTTTCTGCCTTTTACTGCTTTGTAAATGACACCGGTGAATGTTGACTCTGAAAACTGTTCTTTGTTGGACTTATTGTAGACTTAGAATCATAAAGAGTTACAATTCTTGTGGATTTATTGATGTTTCATTTATTATGTGTATTTTGTGATCTATGTTATTTTAATTTTAGAACTCTATTCTATTGTTATGGATTTTATTGGAGAGAATACACCTAATTTTAATGGGAGTCAAACAAAAAAAATGGCACATGCTCAAATCTCCCACTTCGTATTTACAATGCTTGGGATATATGTTTTCCATCCATTTTAGCACAGTGATTATTCCCATTTTAAGAGGCAATGACAAAGTTATGTAGTGGCCATTGGCATGCTCAGAGTATAGCATTGCAAGAGTCCACTTCCCAACCCTTAACATCTGTAGGGATTTGTTTAGCTCATTGTGAGCTTTTAGATTGCCTGTGGGATGCTTAGTTGGGGATCAGAACGACTTATCAAATGCCTGTAATCGGCATTATTACTATTATATTATAAAAGTATAAAGAAGGACTTCCCAGCAATTTTACAAACATGCCTGAAAATCTCTACAGTAATAGTCAGCACTTACTTTACTACTGTACACGTTATCACTTGCCACCTCTGCAAAAATAATGATCCTTACGTTTTTGAAAACAGTAGCAGCACCTCAGCCCATCTCAGACAAAATCTGTTGCCCGTAGGTTCCTCTATCAGCAAAGACTTACCCTTCCCTGAAGTGAACTGGTTTATAAATTGTAACCTTATCTCAAGAAAAAAAAAATTAAGTATGAGTAACCTGACGTTGTATACATATATTGGTGATTTGTATCCCGGTTATAGGTGCCCTTTAAAGTTTTTAGCTATTAATTACTTTTACTGCGGTTAGCATTTTACCTTTAAATATATATATATGCTGTTTGACTTACTGCTCTCGGTAAGACTCAAATAAAACTTTATACAGCAACCATATAAGGCCAATGTACATTATGTTCATACAAGTAAGTGTTTTTTAGGCAAATCTTGTTTCTTGAAAAGATGTTACAACCTTCAGAATGGTCTTTTAATTATCTCTTAATCTTAAAGCTTTCTAACCTATACAAAATTAAAAATGACTTACTGGAAAGAGTTGGCAATAGCAGTGCCTTATTTCAAGCTTGTATCATCTGACATATACCTTTATTAATATATCCAATTTTTCCTTGTTCTTATAAATTCCAAGGCGGATTAACATGGGATTGCATTCCAGTGGCCAGTTGTAAGCCTATTGCACAGCGCAAATCTCCCTGCAAAGAATTTCCTATTTGCTGCACAAGTGATTAGTTGTTAATCTGTGTGAAAGTGCATGCTGGACTGTTCTCCTTGAACCTGAGTGGTATATGTGAGCTGTACCCAGTTCAGGTTTCCCCCTGAGATCTGCTGAATATCATTTCTTATGACTGACCCTTATGGACACTGGAATTTCTTTTGGATATAATATTAAACTGAGGTGGTCCCTACACAAAGCACTATGGGTAGTGTTTTAGGACTGTTTTCCCTGTGACACCCTTTTCAGAAGTGGGAAATTATGTTTTGGAATGTTGTGTATACAATTAGAGTTACTCTGAAGGTCTGCATGGGATTTAAAATTATTTATCTTCTGATTTAGCAATTTAAATTAGGGAAAATACATAGTATTTTAAATACATTTGTCACCTCGTAATGAGGTGAGGTCTTATTTGATGTGCGGCAACCTGCACTGGGGATAGAAAATACCCATGAATCACCAAACAGCATCTTCAGTGCAAATTATGCAGGAGAACCACTGTAGGAATACTGGAAGGTATATGCAGAACCCAACCAGGAGTCAAGAACCAAGGGTTTGGGTATATAGTTTAAGCTGAACTGTTTTTTTCTTTTATAAAGAAGTCCATACATGGGGCAAGTATTGGTCAGGGTGGTTGTTTTATATCTAAATTGTCATTTCTCTAAGGCCTGGTTCACACCTATGCAGTTTGCTTTTCATAAGTTTTCTGCAGTGCCTTTGTTTAAGAAGTGCCCAGGTAACATTTACTAAGATAACGTTTAGACAGAATGGAAAATATGGTCACAAATTTGGCTGATTTTGTGGTCACTGGGACTTTTTCTCTATTCTTCTCTAGTCCCCAACAGGTCTTACAGACTGGGTTACTGGGTATACAGAAGGGTAAAAGTCCACAGACTTTTGAGATGAGTTTTTAAGATGGGTATAGCTTGAGTTTGCCATACTTTCACAGAGACTTGTATGGAGGAACAAAACCAGAAGTAAATCTGTTAGAGACTGTGCATCCTAAGGCCTCATGCATGGAGGATGTTTTAAATGCCACTTTTAGATGCGTTTTGCTGGGGTGGTTGCCTTTAAACACCCCTAATTGTTGTCCATGCACACAGGCATTTACAGGCAGGGGCTTTTGAGGCAGAAAAAAACCCCAGGACTAGCACATTCAGGAGAGGAGCATTTCGGAGTAAAAAAAGATGCTTGATGTTCCTAAACGCATTGAAATGTACCTTAGTGCTAGGCTCATCAAGCACTTGGGCATTCATTCATTTCAATGGCCAGAATATATTAATATTCTGGACAATGGAATGAATGAACACCAACATGCTGGACATGCCTAAACGTTTTTGCAAAACATTGCTTTAGGAATGTTTTTAACACTTCGTATTTCTCCCCTCCAGGGGAGAAAAAAAAAGTCATTTGTGCATGGGGTCTAAGAAGGAGTAAGATATGCTGTAACAGACTTCCAGTGACTCATTTCTTGCCATCTTAGTTTGTTGACATTTTTATTTTTGCTAAGTTGGGAAAGGTCAGTTAAAATTAAACTCTGGGCACATTTAGAAAGGGAAAGGACATGGGAAATGCACATGTATTCTAGAGATGTACAAAATATGTGTTTCTTTATATTACTTGACATATGTTGTAGGCAGGGGCGGACTGACCATTCGGGAACTCAGGCGCTGCCCGAGGGCCAGGGGTCAGTAGGGGGCCCCATGAGATGCACCTGGTACTTTTCATGGGCTTTTTTTGGTGTGGTTTGAGTGTGGGCGAGGACACAGGGGCCCCATGATCCCCTATTGCCCGGGGGGCCCCATGAGTTGTCAGTCTGCCCCTGGCTGTAGGCTACTTGTACTACTTTATATGGATCTCACTCAAGGTGTCTGAGTTAAAATAAAAACAAAAAAAAAACAAGGACCTAACTAGATTTCTTATGTACAATATGGTTAATATCAGCTGTAGGTTGTCTTTTGAGAAAGAATTCTATAAGGTAAGGCAGCCCAAGGTTACTATGTCAAATTTCACTGAAGGAGAGAAATTCAACCTTTCTAATAATTCAGAT